AAGTGACTATCGTGATTTCGTTATCTGCGACATTGTCTCTCGTGCTGTAGTATGCTACGGAAATCCCGAGTTGAGTCATGGTTGGATCTTCTGTCGAATGCACTACGCTTCTGATTGCACTTTGCGAAGTTCGCGGGTTCACATGTGTCCGCACTTCATGTATATCTCGAATGACGGACGCATCATTTTCCCCAGGTTAGTTCCTTCCGGGCATCTTAACCGTGGGCATCCTGAGAGGAAATGAGGACTAGGGGTGTGTGGACATTATTTCGGAAATGGCTATTCACTCTCTCTCTCTCTCTCTTTCTCTCGCAGATGTCATGGCTCCCCTTTCAAGCTCCCAGATTTCATGGCCCCCCTTCTTCGTTCCATACGCTCCCTGCCCACCCCCTCGTTCGCGCACGTGCCTCGGGCCGCGTAATGTCCCGCGCGGAGCGTATCCGTGGGATCCCATGAATCCTGATAGCGAGTTCGTGCACATTGCGGTCGCCGCTCGTGGGGAGGAGGGGCCGAGGGAGGGGGATCAAGAGGGGCAGCATTAGGATGAGGAGGAGGAGGAGGAGCAGGAGGAGCAGGAGGAGGAAAAGGAGGAGCAGGAAAAGGAGGAGGGGGAGGAGCAGGAGGAGGAGGATGAGGAGGAGGAGGAGGAGGAGGAACAAATGGAGGGGGAGGAGCAGGAGGAGGAGGAAGAGGAGGAGGAGGAGGAGGAGGAGGAGGAGGAGGAGGGGAGGAGGAGGAGGAGGAGGAGGATCAGGAGTCGAGCCCCGCGGCCGGGCGCGGCCGAGCGGCCTTCCGCGGAGGCCGCGGGCGCGCCTCCGCGCGGCGCCACGGCGGGCCGCCTGCCGGCGCCGCGGGGCCCGAGCCGTCGAGAGAGCTCGGTCGCGGCCGGCCGCGGGGCTCGACTCCTGATCCACCACCTCCTCCTCCTCCTCCTTCTCCTCCTCCTCCTGCTCCTCCCCCTCCTCCTTTTCCTCCTCCTGGGAGTTGTACGTGAATGATCTATGCGCGCTCGTAATTAGTTTTTCGGCTCAAACGCATGAGGCCAGAGGTTGGCGTCGGTCTCCTCACTATTGGACTTGCGAGGGAGCTCACTTCGCTAGCTTCTTCACTTCCCAATCGACACCAGTGCCCAGATTGCTTCTGTGATGACCCTCTTCTTCCGGAGTGTCCGAGGACAGCCGACTGTGTGTGTCCGCTGCCGCAGGTGCGGCAGCCCGTGTGCGGGTGCCGCCGGACTTTTTCGTCAGGTCGTGTTTCGTTACTCCTCGGGCGCGAGCGTTTCCCTTGCCAGTACTGGCCTCTTGGGTGTGTTGCTCGGAGCAGCAGATGGTGGTCTACTCTCTCGGCTTTGCTGTCCTCGCCGTGTTGCTCCCCCTCTTCGTGGAGGGCTCGGTCGCATCGAGCAGTGATGGCGGGAATCGCGGAAGCGCCGCCAGGGGGCCATGCCATCTACTGGTACGAGGGGTCTGCCTACGGGCATGGTCGGATTTTGCTGAGGGGAGTTAAGGCTCTGGAAGACAAAAGTA